ATCCAGTTGTGCGAGAATTTTTCAATTGAGCCGACTTTCAGCCTGATTGTTGCTCATACGTCGTGTAGTGTACAGAAGCCTCTCACGGACACCTCCCGATCAGGAATCGTAAGGTTGGGAGAAAATCAAACAAGTTTGAAATTCGGTCGGCCGTCGTAAGGTGGTCATGGGCAAATCGTTCAATGGGCATGCAGAAAACAAGGATTCTTCTTCCTTATCTCAGATGAAAACCCAGAAGCATGGCGGGGGTGTGAGTGAAATGCAGTTCTTTCTGTAAAATTGACAGTTGCCACATTTGCTCAGCCATGTCTTTGTCCAAATACGTTTTCTTTTTAGGGCTTTCAGCACTAAATTACACGAATCGCCAAGGCATGGTATTTCACTCTAACAAGCTTTATATTTCTCTTCTACTCATTTGGCTTCCGGATAGATGAGTCCAAGTAGCGCCATCTCACTGCGGAGCTGCATTTGACGTGGTTTTTAGATGTACAGTATGGAGCAGTAAGATCGCATCAGAGCGTCAGGTCGCACAGTGTGAGAACATATATCATGAGCTAGGCACTCAAACTGTATGACAAAACCCTGCGGTTTCCTCGTACAGTGTGAGCTGTAGCTGTGCGCAACAATAAAAAAAATAATGGTACAGTCTATGCCCGGCTTAAGTGGCTAACCTTTAATGGACTGTGTGCTCTGAGACCTCTCTATCAGAACAAGTACGGACTCTTTGAGCAAAGCAGTTTGTTGTTTAGATCAGAAATTGAGTCTTATTCACTTTAATATTCAAAATGTTAAGCCATTTGTGTTAACATCATCAAAATGTATTATTTTCAAGACTTTGACTTTGGTGTTTATAAGTTGCTATGATGAAAACTTTCTGGAGATATCACTAATGTATAGGGGAATAATGCAGGAATCCACAACGCTCCTGAATTATTGGAAATTCCCTTAATCTTTACTCCTTGGATTTTTGCTTTTTTTTTTCTAAGAACAGTTAAGACCACATAATAGCAAATAAAGATATCTGATCTAAGGCTTTTAGATACTGAAGTGCTTCATGTTTATTTATGTTGGTTCTGACAAACATAATTCCTACAGGTTAATATAAATAAAATTATAAAGCCATATATTTTGAGGTATATGCACATAAAGTGAGAGACAATAGTATTTAAAGGGCACAGAGCCATGCTGAATTTAACCCTGTCATCTCTGCCATCTTCATGTACGTGATGTTTCATGGCTTTTGCTAGATTATCACCTTAAGTTAACTGGGTCTTAAATAGCTGACTGGCACCATGAATCGAGTGAGGAATTAGCCACCTGTTAGGTCAACCAACCACAACCTCATTGTAAATGTGGAGGGATGGAGCTTAGTTTTTACAAGGGGCAGAAATGGCGTCAAACAAGGTAGCGGTGGTGGTCACCTCGCTGCAGGAAGCGTGACTTCCTTATGTCAGACCTGAGAGGGCAGAGGTCAATAAATAAAGAACAGATGTGGCTTAGGACGGCCATGGCTCCAGTCTGGGGTGCCTTTAATGCACCGTAGCCTCCTGCTCAGACCAAACAATGCAGAAACTGGAACTACTATGCTGAAAAATAACATTCTTCTGTATACAGATACTCTTTTACATTCACCATTTAAGACCTCTGAGGAGCTTACATTGTCAAGATTCACATTGTTTTGAAAATCCATCTTGAAGCATTACCTCACAATTTTGCTGCAAGCATAAAAGTTATTTTGCAAGGTAGGAAATATAGAACCAGAGGTCAGGTTATGCTTGATTTATGAACTATGTAAGGCTCATGTATGCCTTAGCACTTGGAGTCTGTTTATACTCTCTGTAAAATATTTCCAGTGGCTGTCCTGCACTGTGGTTCCTCACCGGCCTGCCTGTGCTGTCAGAAGCGATGAGCATCGGAATGAGAAACAGGTGTGTCTACTCCTTTATCTCACCCTCCCTCTCTGTTCTGTGGCCTCGCTGAGCCACAAGTTATGTTATGACAAAAATGGCAGAGGCGGGAGTGTGAGAAAAGAAAAAAAAACGGAGGAGGTGAGCAAAAGAGCAACAACAGATAAGCTCACATTTATCCTTTGAAACCATCAAATACAGCCATAAGGAGATGTTAAAGGTCAAGTAGTAAGAAAGAAAACAAGGTAATAAGAACTATGAATAATGTATAGTGAACCTGACAATTGGTGAGAGAAGATTTTCCAAGGATTATGGATCTTTGGTTATGTTATTAAAATGACAGAAATATCTTGAATCATGTATTTTAAGAGGTTTGATAATGCTTTAAAAGCTCAAGAAAAGTCAATGAATCAATCTGGAAAGTGTGAAGTGGCCTGTTTGAGGTCACTCACACCATGATTAAAGCACATCAATTACAATGTCTTTTTAATGATTACTCCACTCAAATGCTGGGTTTATAATGAGAAAATGATTAGTTTAAGATAAAGGCCAATTCACAGGTTCTTTGAAAGGAAAGTATTTTCTTTCTTTACTGGTTTTCTTGAAAATGAGACATTGATTCTGTAGAACAGGGGCTGTTTGGTATAAAAAAGCAAAAAATAATATATATAATAATGGTGTAATATGTGAGCAGATGTGCTAAAACATTTTTAAACTAAATTACTGTTAAAGTGAAAACAAAAAATATAAATGCAAAACTAAAACCTTATTGTCCTGATTGGCACGTATTTTCCATGTGTGCAAACAGTCTAGAATGAATGATATTTCAAAGCTGGCTGCAGCTGGAAGCTGGAAAACTTTGTGAAATCATTTTGAGTCCATACATAAAGCACAACAGTCAACGCCAGTCCTTCAAATATCATGGAGTTGTTAATGATTCATTTATTACATGTGCATGTAGCGATCCTTTAACAAATAATCATTGTATTGGGAGTGTCCAGTTTTGCTGTGGACTTTGCGTTCATGTTGTTAATCCATAGAAGTTGCTAAAGCGGTAAGATCTTGCTAAAATATTCATTGTTGAGTCAACATTGTGCAAACTAGTACTAGATCTCTGCAAAAATATCTGATTTTATTAACTGGGAGCTCCAGCATGGGCCATCTTAAATACTGTCTATTATAGCAATTGTATTATTGATAAACACCTTTATGACTCACTTACATGTTATGCTAATATTTACATGTTTTAGCTTTGTGATATTTTAACCAAACCAATTTTGTGACAAACGGAGAATTTGGTTTTTAAAACGCTTCACATAAAAAAGAAAAAAATCTGGTTTGCGTTTGTATTCGGTTACCACTTTGCTGCAATTACAGCTGCAAGTCATACATCTCTGTCAGCAGTGCACATGTAGAAACTAAGAATCTGAAATATTTGCAAGCTACCATTTCTATTGTTTTGTAAACATCAGGGTGTGGTATCGTCTTCTTTAAAGTAACAATTTGATGAGTGCAGACTTTTTTTTTTTTATCAAAAAGACTCCTTTTAGAGTACGTTTTTGGCTTTAAACCTTCTTGTGGCTTATCTTGGCCGGAAGATTTATAATGACTGCTTTCTAATTTGTTTCCAAAAATGTTTGGATCTAACTGCTGGCTTCTGTCTGAAGTGCAAAATAGCTCAAGCTGAGTCATTTTAATGATCTATCAACAACATTTTGATCATATTTTTTGATCTAGCCATTCAATTGCAGGTGTGGTTGTATAGTCTTCTGTTTCAAATGGTAAATGGCATGTACTTATATAACGCTTTTTCAAGTCAGGAGACTTGATCAAAGCGCTTTACACTACATTCAGTCATTCACCCATTCACACACACTGATGGTGGCAAGCTGCATTGTAGCCACAGCTGCCCTGGGGCTCACTAGGCCCTCTGACCACCACCAGTAGGCAATGCAGGTGAAGTGTCTTGCCCAAGGACACAATGACACTGAAAGTCTGAGCCGGGGCTTGAACCGTCAATTCAGGGCAAACTCCTACATCTGACGCCACTGTCGCCCTGTTTCAAAATAAAGTTGTAACAAATGACGGTAATTATACTTTTACTAGAGGCAAAAACCTATATCCAGGTTACACCTTTATTTATGTGCTTATTTTAATAAAGAAACGTTTAAACATTAATTTTCGACCCTCTTTAAATGTGAACTGCACTTTGTTGTCATATCCAATTAAAGACAGACCTGCCTGGTTATAAAGTTACAGCCTTTTGTATTGCGTCATATTGTTAAGTTAAAGTTACAGCTTTTTTTTTTTTTTTTCTCAGAATTCTTACTTTAATGTCAGAATTCTGACAGCTAACAAACATGTTAGCATCAAGCCGTAGCCATGTCTGTTTTAGAGACTAAACTAATCACCTTCTGCCCTTCCATTAATGAAATAGCATCACAGAGGACCCCTCAGGCACTTAAAAAGTCTCTTAATTCTGTCATTTTCCACCAGTGTGTCACTAGCCCTCTCAAACAACGCACATCTTTGTCAGTGAAGCTGAGTGCTCGCACATCCCTTACCTTCATGGTACCCATCTACATTAAGATCCAAGATTTTGAGAAAAAAATCAGAATTCTGAGCTTAAAGTCAGAATTCTGAGCTTGAAGTCAGAATTTTGAGATTAAAGTCAGAATTGTGAGAAAAAGTCAGAATTCTGAGATTGAAGTCAGAATTCTGAGCTTAAAGTCAGAATTTTGAGATTAAAGTCAGGATTGTGAGCTTTAAGTCAGAATTTTGAGATTAAAGTCAGAATTTTCAGAAAAAAGTCAGAACTCTGAGATTAATGTCAGAATGTTGAGATTAAAGTCAGAATTGTGAAGAAAAAAAGGTCAGAATTCTGAGATTAAAGTCAGAATCCTGACTTTTTCCTATATTATACTGAAATAAAATTAAAAAAATCAGTTAACTTTTTTTTCTGTGGCCCAAATCCTCTTCCTTATGTTTTTTTTTTTAGGAAAAAAACCAAACAAAAAAACTCCCTCCACATGTCTCTGTACCTGTCCTCCCTCTCCCTCCCTCCCTCCTCCTCCTCCTGTGAGGGGAGGTCTGCTCTCCTCTCCTCTGTTGCGCTCCGTCAGTTTTCCAGCAGCAGCAGAGCGCAGCGCCACGCTGACCGTCGGTCTGCCACCAACACTCGCGGATTTCTACACTTTTACTGAATCTGGGGGAAACAGTTCACAGTGGATAAGCGCAGCAAATAAGGTGAGTCCGGAATAGTCCGCGTGTTTTGTTGACAAACTTTGACATCGATGGGAATCGGGGCCGGTTTTAGAGAAACGCAGCTCAGGAAACCGACCATGGGATGGATTGATCAATGATCAGGGAATCTGAATGATCTTTTTTTTTTCTTATTCTGATTTGGAATATTACTTCAGCATTCCTGCTTTTATTTCAAAACAGCATTACACTGGAAAAAAATCTAAATCTAGATAAGACTTTTTTTTCTTAAAATAAGTGCATTTTTTCTTGGCTTGAGGAGGTAAAAGAGACATCTTGCCAATAGAACAAGACAATTTACATTTAAAATAAAAATGCACAACTGCATTGTCTCATTTCAAGTGCAATTTATCGAATTATCTTATTTTAAGATTAAGAACACTAATTCCATTGGAAAGTATCTCATTTACTTGCTCGAATTAAGGGTAAAAACACTTAATTTAATAATTATTTGACTTATTTCTAGATAATTTTTCCAGTGTAGTTGGATCAGTTAAACTATGCATGCTCCTGTCATTAAAATTATATATTCCAAGGTAAATAGTTATTTATCATTTAAATTTAATATTATCTTCGCCCTTTTCTCTCATAAAAAAAGTTGTTTGTCCTTGTATGAGCCTTATCTGAGATCTTTATGGTATAGTCCCACAGTGTTTGCCCTGTAAAGCAGTCTCTCCTGTCAGAATGACTGTGATGGCTCTCTGGCTGTATATATAGCCCATAAACAAAAGAGCAGGACTTTAATTTGATTCAAACAGATTTTTTTTTGTTTAAGCTGACAAGTGCATCAATTTATCTGGTTGAGTGTAAACCAATCCGCAGACCTTGACGCCCAGTTTAGCTGGATGGTATGAGGAGAAGGGTATAGCTGACTGACCTCTGTGCTCTCATTAGGGCAAATACAGATGCATGAGGCCGTAGGTTTATAGCTTTGTAGGTTTGACCTGAAATATATCCATCTGAATTTAACCCAGGCTCAGTTTCCCAGATCTTCACTGTTGTTCCGCTAATTTAACTGCAAATAAAGAACCAATGCAAATGAATTCTGAAACAAAAGATAGTTTGTTTTACTTTGGAAGTTTAACAACAACAAAAGAAAAATACAGATAATTGTTATGCAATCTACCTACTCTAAATATGCCCTCAGGGTCACCAACACCTTGACCCACATCAACCTCCTCTGTGCTGCCTCTTTGCATGAGTGTCAAGAATTGGTTTGAGTGGGATCAGGAGCATAAACAACTTAGAGGCCAGACTAAACAGACCACACGTGTCTTATAAATACATTTTTTCAGACTTTTATTGGTGAGCACGTGCCTTTTTGAACGTTTATGTAATGTTATTTGATGCAGATCTTCCACTAGCAGCGCTTTATTCTCACTTTCTTGGTCTTTTAGTTGCAATGAGAGACACTTCTGAGGTAAAAATAAAGTCTGACACAGCAATAATCTCTAGACGAGGTCCTTAAGGCAGCTGCTGAGGGGCTTTGAACACATCAAGGGATATTTCTCAGCAGATGAGTTAACCCACTTTTCTGACAACTTAAGTGACAGATCTACCCGTAAATTCTGCCTTTTCTTTCAGCTGCACCATTTTTCCAGCTTTTGTTAGAATAATTTGTTTGGAGACAGATTTAGTTGGATCTCATAACTCTTAACTTGTGTTTGCATCCCATAAATCAGATCCACTTTGCAAAATATATTCTTATTACTTTTACCATGTTCCTGCTAAATATATTCTTTGTATTCCACATGAGGATTTTATGGGATAGACTGTTATAAAGCAGTATTGCATAATCAAAATGAAACGTATCGCCTGCCATAGAGGAGCCATGCTGTTTTAATACCTGTTAGGAGTCCTTTGATGTATTTTGTTTCCCAGTTTTGTTCATCTGGTGACTTTTATTTTTAAAGGTGAGTCTGTGAGGATCAACTTCAAAGACTGACAACAGATACACATTTGGATTTGGTGTTATTTTATCAAAATAATATGCATTGATCTGAACCACAGATGCAGCTGTGGTTGTGTGAGTTTTTTTAGTTCAGATTATTTTAACAGGTTTTCTCTCCAGCAGTTCCCTTAATTTGGCAAAATCCATTCCTATTAAGTTTAACCAGCTTCCCCATAGTTCCCTAAAGGAGCCCCCCTTAGCATCATACTGCCTTCACCCTGTTATATAGTTTGGAGAATAGTATGGTACAGTAGTCTTCCATCACACAGAATTTTACATGAAGGCATTTTGGTCTCAGCTGATAAGAGCATTTTGTTGTATATTTTCTGTGTCATCTGCAAACTGCAAACATGGCATATTTTGGCTTTCTTTTTTTCCCCTGAAAGTGTTTTTCATCTTGCCATTCTTCTATAGAGTAGGTCGTATTTGTTGAATTCAACACTGCTAGAGCTCTAGATGTGTACAACTCGACCACTGTTACCATGGGCCGCTTTGGTGTTTGATTTATCAGAGTTAAGAGCGAATACAAATGCATTTCACTCCTTTTAGGTATTTATTGTAAGAAAATGAAAACCGCTTGTATTACCCACTGTTTTGGGTCCCCTCTCCCATCCGCTTCATGATATGTGGGTTTCAGTTTCGTAATTTGAATGACACATGTCTATCAGATCAGGAAGTAAACTCTCAATGGAGGTAACTGTTGCAGGGAGCCAGTATTTTAAGGATTTAGATCTAGTTTTAAGACAAAGGTACAAGAAATGGACGTGACCCTCAGCTTACAAAAAGTGAATGATAAAACCCCAAACTTCAGTCAAGGCTGTAGATATTATAGAAATAACAGCTCCTTTAAACAGCCTTCTAAACCAAACAGCAGATAAAAGCCTGTAAGAGATCAAACAATTTTCGTTATTGGGTGAGTCCACAGTCTAAGCAACACAGTCAGCAATAGTTGCAGTCTGGTCTTGAACATTAGTGAATATTAGTTCATATATTAAATCATTAAACTTCCACAGAGGCTGAGCATTGGAGGAGAGTCTACCCACCTGACATTATCCAAAGAGCTCAGGCAGCCTAAAAACTCAAGATTAAGGCCATATTAGACTTAAGACGGACACACACTGTAAGGTTTTTTGCCCTTTTCGGGCCAAAACATCGTGTGTCCTGCATCTTCTAGTATGCAGGGGGTAACGAGGGGCGATTAGCCTCTAATGACCTAACCTGACAACAGCCAGATGCATGTCTCGCTCCGCCCAGCTCCACTCACATACATCTGGGAACCCGCCATAGGAATTGCCTTTACTGAAGGCTGGGCCTTATCAAAACTCCTTGCATATGATTGGATAAGCCACTTGTCTGTCATCTTTATTGACGTGCTATTTCAACCACTCACACCGAAGCTAACCCGTGACGCTGTGAGAGGAGGAGCCATTTGGTAGATCAAGCTCTTGCCAAATCCGGTCGGGAGAAGGGCGAAAACATTGTTTCCACCAACAAAAGCCTTCAAAGCCGTTCTTTGATGTTCTTTTAATTAAACAATATCAGATAGATTGGACAACACAGAAGAAATAGCAGCATCAATGCTAACGCTTGCTTCCTCAATGCGAGCCGCCATTGTTGTTGGAATCTCACGGTCGCTTCTCCACTCCAGGACACACCCACCCTGCGTCCTGATTGGACAGACCATAAATTCGGTTGGGGAAATCACTTTCAATGAGCGGGTTCCCAGATGTATGTGAGTGGAGCTGGGCGGAGCGAGACATGCATCTGGCTGTTGTCAGGTTACTAATGACCACCTCCCGGTCAGGTATCGTAAGGTCGAAAGAAAATCAAACATGTTTGAAATTCAGTCGGTCCTCTTGAGGTGTTAGTGAGTAAATCCTGCTTTTGAAGCAGCGCTACAAGCGTCTGCGAGCCAATTTACCAAAACCTTGAGCACTGCGCATGTGCAAACAAGAACAGAATAGAAGAATAGAATTTAGCTTTATTTGTCAAAAATTGTCACAAATACAAAGCAATGAAATTTACTCTCCACATTTAACATTTACCATTGGCGAGCAGGGGGCTACCATTGTGTGGTGCCCGCAGAGTATTGTGGGGGTCAAGGGTCTTGCTCAGGGACCCAGAGTGGCAGTCGTTGGGAGTGGGGCTTTAAGTCGGAACATATGGGATCCAAGCGCAATGCCCTAACCACTAGGCCACCACTCCCCTAGGTGGGAATAAGGGAGTTCTTCTTCTTCTAGATTGACGAGTCTGACCATCTCTCTGAGCTGAGTCAGACATGTGGTTTTTGGATGTGCAGTGGTAGCAGGTAAATAGCATCAGAGCATTGGGCCACACAGTGTAAGAACATGCATTGTAAACGGTGAACTTTTAAACCCTGCGGTTTCGTTATAGAATTTGAGCAGTAGCCGAGTACAAAAATGTAAAATATCATACAGTGTATGTCCGGCTTCAAGACTTACTGTAGCTGAACAATCATACTAAGTTAATAAGTAGTTAGTAACAACCTAATGGTAAACAAAACCAAAAAATATAAAGTTGGACAGCTACTAGCATCATTCTGTCATCATTGTTCATATTTATCCATAACAAATGAAAGCTTACTTGATAATAGCCATTTTATCTGTTAGAACACTTGGGGTAGGCTTGAGCAGTGCAAAACTGGCATTTTTCACATGGCAGATTTACAGCTACTCAATATCCTGCCCTTCAGCTCTTAAGTGACATCAAGTGAAAGGAACCTATTACGTACTAGTTTTTCTACCTTGTTTCATCAATTACATCAAGTACCATTAAAATGAAGTGAAGTTTGAGGTTGATAAAATGCAACAAAGTGTTAGGGATAACAAGTACTGATGTAAGGAAGTAACAATGCTACTAAAATGGAAAAGTAACCTAGACTAAATGCAGGTTTTCTTATCTTGGAGCAACAAAGATGTTTGCCCCTTAGTCCTGTAGAGTAAACAGCAGCATTTCCTCCTGTTCTCTGGCAGAGAGGCCAGAGGTGCAGAGCTGTTGGCTGCAGTTTTCACCA